AAATGCTTTCAAGTGTCACAGGCATGAAAATCAGTATCATTTGCACAGTATCATAATGACCGGAGTGGTTTGGGATTAGGAGGGAGGAGAGCAAGGCATCAAAATGAAAACAGGGCTCAGATTCTAAGTTCCAGTATAGCGCTTAAAATAATTAAAATGTTTATTTGAAAGTCAAAACAGCCTCAGTCGTAAATAACTATCCATTCCTCAATTGATTGTGTCGAGTCCCAACCGAGAGCTCTGGCAATAAGGTTTATTTGCTCCCTGTTGGGATTAATCCATAAATGTAGTCTCCACATGGAACTCATCAGGTCTTTGCTTCCTCTTCATTAGTCTCCCTGGAACTGGAGGGTAGCCTGAATAAGATGAAAATTAGGATAATATATTTTCAGAGAGAAAAGGTCTGTCGATCTCTAATTTGTGTTTCAGGACCATAATACTGTGGAAAATTTCCCAAATGATGTTGTCTGAGAAACCAGTGCTTGTTATGCTTGCTGTATTTGAAGTGTGAATGCAGCAATTACATCTTCTTTTTCTTAAAGCCTCCAAAGCTAATTGCGGTCTTAAACTAGCTAGGTTGACTCCCAGGCTTCCTTCTATACACAGTATAACTTAAAATTCCTTTCTCTTGATGGATCTTTTGGTCTTCTAGCCCAAGGGCTCTGAAATGTCACAGTATGGCCCATTTCTTACTAAAGAGATCATTTCACTGTAGCCCACCCAGTTCCTCCCTCCCTCTCTCCCTCCCTTCCTCTTGTTCTGAACCATAGCTCCAATTAGAGGGCAACCACAGAAATATACTTTCTCTCTTCCTGAGACCTTGGTTATTTTTTTTCATCATATTTGATGCACGAAGTTATTTTAATCCAGGCTCCAAACAGAAATGGCACAGTTTTTTTTTTCATAATTTCTATTTTAAAGTGGCTGACAATTACATCAGCCATTTAAAAACACTCTGTGCCCAAAACTGGAGTAAAGGAGCTTTCCTGTCACCAGAAAATGCTTAAATTCTCAATCTGATGTAAAATTGTCTTGTGTGTTTTGAAAGTGGTAGCTGCAGCATTTGTTGGTGTGTCCTCAGAAAGCACTTCTGTCTAGACAGTTTTGCAGCATATGAAACTGCAATTTTTATCACTTCAAAACTGTATTCTTCTTAAAGTACTGTTTGTTAGGATTTAGTGGTACTTTTTAAGGAAGCTAAATTAGTAAGCATCGAGGGAGTCCCAAAGGCCTCCAGAAGTTTGTGCTGGTTCTGCTGTTCGGCTGTAGTCTCAGGTCTTGCGTTTGCCCCAAGTCCGTAAGCTGCGTGCTCAGTTATTTTCACGTCCCAGCTGTCACTCGGTGCTACAGCTGTCACAAAACACAACTTACAAAGTGGCATCTGTGTAAAGGATGCTGCTATAGTTTAAAGCTCTTTGGTGCATTTTAAGCTGATTTTATGATGCAAGTCATTGCCCCTAGTAATGGGTCTCAAAAGGCTATCTTCCTTCTGAGTACTAATGTACAGGTTATTGCACTGTTCTATATGGTTTCAGCACTTTGTTGTCATTGCTGTTGTAAATCATTATTTATTACTCTAAGTGCTCTTGCTGTTTATTCAGTTCTTTGGAGAAGTGTACTTGAAGGAAAATTTCTCACTTGCTGATATTCATATATCACTGTTTTAGATCTGGCAGTTTCCCAGTGAGTTAGATCTTTATAATCCTAGGAAGCCAAGTGCTGTACTTCTGCACTAATTTAAGCTTCCCTGCTAAGCCCCGCCAGTTCTTTGTGAGCCTTGCAGCCTGTGTGGCTCACAAAGCCATGGGGCCCTCCTGCTTACAGGAAAGACCTGATGTGATCTTCCAGCCTGCAGCGCTGCAGCCCTCCAGCCGTTCCACGAGCCGGGTTTAAGACAAGTTTTAGGCTCTTGACTGCTGTCAAATGCAGGCTTTCTCTGACACACTTCTGCATGCTCTTGAAACAGTCTCCTCCACTTGCTCGGACTGATATTCACAGTGGAGCTGAGATACATGGATAGCTGGGTAGTTACTAGAGAGGAGTCCCTAGAAAAGAAGATTTTTGAGAAATCAGTTACACAAAGGAATGGAGTCAGGGCCAGATGGCAGGGATGCTTCATCCCAACCTGGGAGGTACTCATGGGACAGCCACACACTCGTTCACATGGGGCTGTGTAATCAGAGAAATCAATTAGCAGATGTCAGTGCAGTTAACAGAGCCAGCAAGGCTAGGATAGGTGTGTTACTGTGGTCATAGCACAGGGGGCTGCTTTTCTTTTCACTGGTGGATAACCTTCCAGCTTGATCCAAATGAATCAGCATTTCCAGACCTAGCAGGGTAGGAAGGGAGGACTCTGCTTTGCTCAAAAGTGTGCTTTTTGGGTGTTGTCACCAGGTCCAGACGTCTGTCCTTGCCAGGATTGGTTGGCTGAGAGTTGCAAACACAGCAATGAAACCTCTGCTGCTCCTCAGAGCCCTTTTTCACTATACGGGCTTTTCATTCATTTGTATGGTAGACAGCTCGCAGGCACTGCCAGGCTTGGCTTCACGGCACCCGAGGTTCCTAGCTGTCCATGGGAGGCCCAGCAGGCCCGATCTCAACTGGCGTCTCTATTCCTCTCTCATGTATGCAAGAGTGGAAGGAGAAATGAGCTACAGCGTATGTGACTTGACATCACCAGGACATCAACAGCAGACCTAAGAACTGAAGCTAGCTCCTCTGTATCTCTGCCTGACACTGTACTCTTGAGACTCCTTAATTCTTGCTGGAGGATGGTTTGTACCCTCCAGAACATGAAGACTACAGTCTGCTTTTGCAGCTGGTTGAGCAGGGTGCCAGGACCTTTTCATGCCATGCTCCAGAGTGGAGTTGCAATAGAAGGAAGCACTGCCAAGGTGCTCTACAGTGTGGGTTGCACGGGAAGAATTTACACCAACAAAACCCCACTGCGATCACAAAGCCAAGCCTCAGATGCTAGGAAATGTTCAGCATTCCAGCAGTTGTAGTCTTGCCTAAGTTTTTATCCATGGCTCTGCATCTAGCTCATCTTGTCCTTGTCCACCCTGCTCTCCAGTTGCTCTTACATGCCTGTGCTCCTGCCCTCTTCTCCCTTTTACAGCTACTCTCTTAATTTCTTCTTTCTCTGACATTTGTCTGCGAAGTCAGGCACAGACCCACTGACTAGCTCCTGCCCCCAGGCTCTTTGCTGATGAATCCCATCTTTTGCCCTGCTCCACCTGCCTTTCCACGGCAGGCTCTCTGATCCTCTCTGCTTTCGCATGAGTGCATCTCTTTTGCCCTCTGCTTTTTAATCTGGCAGCTTGCTCTTGGTGCCATTGAAGACAGAAGCTATCTGCCACCAGCTCCGGGATCAAGCGATCCCGGAGCTGCAGCAGAAAGGAAGAAACTGGAAATTTAGCGGCTCAAATGTAAGTTGTTTCTAGTCCACAGAGCAAACTGTGCCTGTATGTGTGTTCCTTTGCAGTCCCCTTCCCCTTTCAGATGCTTGTAATTTCCCCAATATTAGAAATATTTTCACAGAGGGTGTTTCTGACTACATTGCTTCAAACTGTGGGAGCAGTTTTCCCAGTGAGACCATCACCAAATTGGTGGAAAAAAAAAAAAAAACCGAAGTGTTTCTTCCATGCTTCATTTTTGAAAGCTGCTCGACTGTTTTGGCAGATGCTGAGCCAGATATCTGGGGTGGAAATTGTGGAGTTTTTTCTGCCATGCCATTGGCAATGTCATACGCACCTGAAGGACTTGCAGTGGAAAAGTTTCGGCAGGCCACACAGCCGGGTGAACATATGGAAAACCAGCCTTGGCTAGAAGCAGTCCAAGTAGACGCCAGCAGACATTTGCTTCTTGGGACTTCCTCCCAAAATTACTGTAGTAACTGGAAAGGATTTGGTGTTGGTACCCTACACATGACATGTGAGTTGATCTACAGCAACTGCAGCATATCCAGAGCTTGAGTGCCCTCAGCCCAGATCCGTGGGTGCTGACGGGTGCTCCTGGCCGCTGTCCTGAGGGATGCCCAGCAGCACCCAGGCAGCGCCAGTGCCAGGAGCGCTTCTAAGGTGGGGGCACAAGGGGGGCAGCCTGGGGAGGCAGAGGTGCAACGTCAGTGTAGGAGATGGGAATTGGAAAGGCTCCTGAGAGCTGGTCTGATTGCGGGAGGCCCAGCTGTGACCAAAACAAGCCTTGTGCATTTCATAAGATGGTCAAAAGCCCCAGTCCTTTCTGTCTATCACAGAGCTGGCAGAGCTGTGATTGATGCCAGCGCTCGTCCTGGGGCCTGTGACATCGTGCTAGGTTAGCTCCTGATGCGTGCTCAACCTCAGCAAAAAGACTGTTAATTCAGGTGGGCTCCTTCAAAGACCATTTTTGCTTCACTACCTCTGTGAATATCATTAGGATAGTGCATTGTGTGGCAGGAGTGGGGCTAGCATGAGAGGAGAGAGTGATGTGCCCCCGTGTCCCGGGGTAAAAGAGCCTTGTGATTTCCTCCAGTGTCTGGTAAACGCACACAGCATCCTCCATGAGTTCAGAGCGTGCACAGTTCTGCCATTCAATCCAGGCTAACGGTGTTCAACATCCTGAGCCTCCCAGATGCAAAGGGCTTCTGCATGCCCTGGCTGGTCGCTTCCCTGCTCGGGGTCTCACAGCTCCATTGAAAAGCCTGTTCTTTCTCCCTGGCACCTCGGAGATGTTTGCCTTGCGCAGTTTGTCACCAAGACCCTGCAGTAATTTCACACACTCCTCTAATAAAGTCCTCTGAGGCTGTCATGTATTTTCATGTATTTCCCCTATTATTTCTCCCTGCTTGAGCCTTTCAGATAATTGATGATACTTTAGTTAATCATTTTCCCCGTCTTTTGTTCACCAGGTACCTCAGCCTTGAAGGGATCCTTTTCATTTAGAATCTGTGTCTACTCTTAAGTAATTGATCACCGTGCACCCGGGGACACCCAATTCACAGCCGAGTGGGATCAGCCTTCATGAATAATCAACATGCTGTGGCCATGCTGCTGCAGGAGTGCAAGCGAGCTCTGGACACGGTCCTGTCAGCCAAGGCTGACACATGCGAGGAAGACAAGCGAGAATACCAACAGCGCCAAGGTGAGGTCCCCATTCGGCCGGCCCCCCGGCACCACCAGCCGGTCCTCAGCCCTGCCCTATTTTTTGTCTCCTGGCAGATGAGTGTCAAGAGATGCCTGGATTTCGAGGCCATGAATGGGATACAGGCTACAGGCAGACAGGGAAAGAAGCCCACTTTGTTGCAGTGAATTGCTGTCAGTTCTAATTTTAGGCTTCAGTAAACATGAGGCTGTAAGGAACAGTTTAGTTTGGGAAGGACAATGCCGGAAAGTTTGCTGATGCACATAAATTTCAGTTATTAAAAAAAAAAAAAAAGAAAGGAAAAAAAGGATGCAACTTCTGAATAAGGGCACATATTTCCTCTCCTTTCATAGGAACTGGGGGAGGGCGTTTTCTGTTTGTCAGCTTCTCTTAATATATTAAAGAGCTCATTGCCTGAATCTTTATCTTGTAAAATGTACGTGACCTCTATAAGTGGTGTCCAAAGAAAAAAAACTTGCAATATCCCTCTTGAAAGGAAAATCCATGCCAGCTAATGGCTGGAATAAATAACCAGGAAAGGAAGCAGTATTTAGCAAGACCTGTAAAAGGAGGGTTCTTAATTTGTTTTAATGCTGGCGTTACATTCTGGAAACCAACATTTCTTTTGATATTACTGTGGTGCTTTGAGAGTGGTTTGTAAAAAAATTTGTTCTTTCTTAATTCCAGTGGAAATCCAATTCACGTCAGTCATGAAAGGATGTAATACACTTGCTTCAGTTTTCTCTAGGTTAAGACTTTCAGAGGACTACATAGCTTAATTGCCACAGCTTTTTAGTTCATAAAATAAAAACCACATTTGAATGTCTGGACTTGTTTCAGTTACACCTTTTTGGCACAGGGTATGGAGGTTATGTACTCCTTTCTGCCACACAGAAAAATAACTTCAGCAAGTATGAAAGAATATAGTAAAAGATGAAGGTGAAATTTTTTGGGGAAAAAAATAAAGGCATTAGTAAAAAAACACCAAAGATCTATTTATGTGTAGTTTTCCTTTGCATGAAACATTTGCAGTACTGTCTGTTTTCCCGTTTAGTGTTAATAAGTTTGGTTTTGCTTTGCATGAGTGGCTTGGCCATAATGTTAATTTGATTTTTAAAATCCTTTGTTTGTCTCGGAGCACAGAGCCGTAGAGAATATGTTTTTCCAAACACCCTTGTTCTTGCTGGGAGGTCAGCTGCCTTTTCTGAAGCACCTAAGTCTGTTTGTGGTGCCGGGTGGCATCTAGGTTTCTGTTATGGATACTGGAAGATTTTTCTCTTCTCTTTTTGTTTTCAACAAAGGGTACTTTGTTTTCTCATCACAAATTATTTTAAGCTTTATTATGGCTCTTTAGAATAGGCTCTTGAACTCCTAATCAGGTAGAGCTTTTTTCCCCTCATCCTCCTCCCTCTTTTTCTCCTGTTAAATACCACAAAGTATGAGAAATAATCAGTTTAGTTCCAGATAAGGTAAATCAGTGCCCTCATAATCACTCCATTAGACATGGTCCTTCAGGTAAACTGCTTCAGGAAATGGGCCATCAGAGCCTGAAGTGAGGTGCAGGCTTTTCCGAGGACCTGTTCCCATCAGAAAAAGTGCCGGGCAGCGGGCGGTGACAGCGATATTAATAACCGCTGGGGTGCTGGGCCCGGGGAAGGCAGGGCCTCTGGCAGGGTGGTGGCTCTGCCCCTTCCCCTGGCAGGTGGCTCGCAGGCAGCGGTGGCGAGCAGCGGGCCCACATGTGGAGAGTGGGGCGATTATCCTGGTTTTTTGGGGTCAGCAGTGGCGGCAGGCAGGGGGCTGGGGGCTCTCCCGGCACCCCCTCCTCCCGGTGCTGCCTTTGTTCCCCCCGGCTCGCTCAGACCAGGCGCAGGAGGAACTGAAAGCCAAATACAGATAAATGGAGGGGGAGCGGGCAGAGGAGGAGCAAATCCTTATCTCGCTGTATTTGAGGGGGCAGAGTGGGGGTTAGATGGGTCTGGATTTCTTTTTAACTTCTTTTTTTAGGCTAGGAATCATTCAAATCCACTTTTGTGCCAGTGCAACCTCCGTTGATTAGCGAATTGATATTGCCGGTGGTGAGCACAGCTATCTGTACAAGAGCAAACTCTCGTCCTGGGAGTCAGATTGTAGCTGAAAGCTACAGGACTGTTCCCACTAGCTCCCCAGAGGGTTTGTGTGGTTCCAATGGATGTTCTCCTGACACAACATCATGTTATTGTCATTAACACACTGTGTTTGTTTTCACATGGTGACACCTAGATGTTGGAGGAAGGCTCAAAGTGGCATCACTAGGCTTACATGAATGGCCAACACCAAAGATGACTGAAGGCTCCTAGATCACAGAATCACAGAATGTTAGAGATTGGAAGGGACCTCGAAAGATCATCTAGTCCAATCCCCCTGCCGGAGCAGGACACCCAGATCAGATCACACAGGAACGCATCCAGGCGGGCTTTGAATGTCTCCAGAGAAGGAGACTCCACAAACTCTCTGGGCAGCCTGTTCCAGTGCTCTGTCACCCTCACTGTAAAGAAGTTTTTCCTCATATTCAAGTGGAACCTCCTATGTTCCAGCTTGAACCCATTGCCCCTTGTCCTATCACTAGATGTCACAGAGAAGAGCCTAGCTCCATCCTCCTGAAACTCACCCTTCACGTATTTATAAACATTAATGGTTTCCTTTTCTAACAAGCTGGGCAGTAGTGACTGCTGGGGATGCCTCTTTAAAAATCAAAATTCAATGTTAAAGAATTTGGCTGTATTCTTTGTTCTTCAGTGCATCAAGTAGGAGGGGGGTTAACATTTAACTAAGGATAGCATGGAGAACAGGAATGAGAGGCTAGCAGTGATACCTTTATGCTTTAGTGAGAATACCAGTGGCCATGTTATCTCTCTCATTATTTTCATACTTGCTGACACTGTTATTTTTAACTGGTTTAGTGTTATTTAAGTGTGAGTTTGCATAGGAAAGACAAAATAAGAAGGCAGAGAAGAGACAGAAAGGTTGTCTGTGTGAGCATCCCATTTCTGTTTCTCTAGATTCCCCTCAAAATGTCAGTTCTATGAGATCATATGGGGAAGCATTATAGCAGTGTCCACCATGACTCCATTCACCCTCCATCTTCCTTTGGGGAAGGTTTTAGGAAGGTTAAGCTTTGAGTATTAGCAACCTTCTGACCACTCTACACAGGGGATAAACGCCTCCCTTCCTCATTTTGCAGGTGTCCCTGCTTGTGCATTGATCTTGCAGTGGGAACCACGAGAAGTGCAAGGGGGGGAGCTAGCAGCACAACCTCCTGTCCCCTCCAGCCCTGCCACTTGGCCACCTTGCCACTCGTGGAGCGCTGAGCCTCTCCAGACACCGCTTCAGAAGGGCAGGGAAACGTAGCTGCATGTGAAGCTGTGATGGGTAATGGGAATTGTGTCCAGATCTGCAGCAACAAGTGAGAAAACTTGGGTTGGAAAAAGTGATCATATTTTTAAAGGTTACTTTTTGCGAAAGGGCCCCTAGTATCCCACTTCCCACATTTTCCCAGGAAAAACATACTGGTGAATGCACTGTAATATGAGCACAAAATAAGAATTTTTATGTATGTAGTGCATTTTCTACAGTTGTCTGTAAAGGATTGATTAGAAAATTTGTAGTAATACATTTATTGCATTGTCTTGTTAAAGCAATGAAGGTTTCTGAGCAGAGTTTTTTCTGGGGATTAATGGCCAGAAGGGGCTAGATCTGCAGCTGATGATCACCATTAACCCCATCTGGTCAATAATCCCTGTTAATCCACTTTTATTGGCCAGAGAAGCTGCCTGGCCGAGTGGTTAGCACAGCACACAGTCTGCAGCTTCACGGCTGTTTCTGGGAAAATTAAATGTGGGCTGCATCTGAAACAAAGGGACAAATCCAGGCCCAGATCTCTGTCTGTGTGCTCCTACTAGCAGTTGCATCCTTAGTCAGGCCAGGTTGGAGATCCTGCCTTATGAGCTCTGGTACATCGCTGGAGGATCAGAGGCCAGGTGTGGGAGCTCGGAGTACTTTGCCCTCATCAAAAAAAATCCGTCTTTTGACTCCTTTGTGCTTGGCCTTTCCAATTGGAAGGTAAGGGGTGCTTTGGGTAGGGTCTGGAAACCCTTGGGTGAGGACTGGGGTTTCTGTGCAGCTCAGTGCTGGCTGTGCTTGGGTGCCCCATTGGCAGGAGCGTGCCTGGACCCAGGGCACCTTGTCCTTTTAAATTCTTTTTAACTTCTGTTGCAAACTACAAGAGAAATGCAGAAGCTCAGGCCAGCTCCTCAGCTAGTGTGAGTTACTTGGCTAAGAAGGCTTCAAAGAAAATGCATCAGCTTCAGACAGTGACTCTTATGGCCAGACTCCAGCTGGTATCTGCCATGCATTTGTGGGCACTGTGATGTTCATGGCGGTTCCCAGGCACCTGGCTGAAACAGCTTTGTCTTGCTATAGCAGTGAGCTCTCTTGTGCTGAAGGGAGGTGTGGCGTAGTCTACAGCTACTGCTCTGAGAGCAGGTTAAGTGACTTAAACCAACAACTCTTCTTACTGAGGTATCAGTCAAATAATTATTCTCATCGGTGTATGCTTGTTATTCATTATATCCCTTTAGATCTTTGTCTAATTGCTGTATGTGGTTGGGATTTATCTCCCAGTTTGTATGTGGCTTTTCGAGCTGGCTGCGCCACTGTCACAAGCAAGATCTTCCAGGCAGCGCTGAGCAAGGGGGACAGGTTTTCTGTGCTGTTGGCCCTGTTTGCTCTGCCAGGAGTCCTCTCCTCACTCGGGAGAACAGGTTTCCTTCCGTCTCTTGGAGCAGCTCTTCACGCCCAGCCACCCACAAGCCGCTGTGGCTTCCTGCTAAAAGCCTGTTTAATGGCTGAGGGCTCCCATTTACCTGGAGGGCAGAGCATCCAAGGGGAACAGATGACAGGCAAGCTTGCCTTCCTTCCCTGTAAGGCTGGTGGCAAGAGCTAAGAGCTGGCAGCAACTGGGAGAGGGTCACGGGGGGGAGGTATGCTTTTTGCAGGGTGGGTGCTCTGTCGGAGCCGTTGCGGCTGAACCAGCTACAGTCTCTTTACCTGCACTTTGACCTTTTCAGCTTTGCTTCCTGAGGACTTGAGGACCCTTCTGGAGGAGGCAAAGGAAATGAAGTGGCCCTTTGTGCCGGAGAAGTGGCAATACAAACAAGACATAGGCCCAGAAGACAAAACAAACCTGCAAGATATGATCGGCGCGGGGCTCCCTGATTTGCTGGTATGAAATCCAACACACCTGTTGCATAAAATGTCCCGCTGAGGTGCTTGAGGGTATACAGAGCCCTGGTAGGTAGTATTACCTGGGGGCTTGGGGGCTTGTTTTTCTGCACTGTAACCACAGCAGGTGAGGAGCTGCTCAGCAAGCGGAGGTGAGCGAGTCGGTGTTGGGAAGGGGCTGCTCACAAAGGTCTAAGGGCCAAACTAGAGATGTAACTTTGATTTGTTTCACTCCTCGGGCAAGAGAGGGACACATGTTATTTGTACTTTCAGTTTTTTTCATTAAAGTTGCTATGAAGCAATATGTGTGAATCCTGGCTTCCTCCTCCTTGTGTGACAGCTCATCCCCATGTCACCACTGCATCTTCCAAGGGAAGGGAAGCCCTGCTCTCCGCTGCCCATGAGCCCAAGGTTGTAAGATCAGTGGGAGCTCTGCCTCGAGGTTAGGCTTCTGGTCCATTGGCTCATAGCTCATGGCAGATGGGCGTGCAACACCATGCGAGGCTGTTGGTTTGACATCTTGCTGGTAACTGCAGTTTTATGTGCTCTTCTGATGCAGGGAAGATAAAATGGATTAAGTGTTGAGAGTGTCCTGGCAACTAGCTGCTGCTGTGCAAGGAAAGTGCCTAGGTAGTAATGACAAAGGCATTGCTGAGGGGGGGGCACTGGCTCTGCCTTGCGTGGAGGTGGTCCCAGAGGCATATAGGGATTGTCCATGCACTGAGCACCTTGCAGAACAGCAGTCTTGTCCATTGAAATATTTAGCGATGACTTTGACTGCATTTATGTTGTTTCTACACACTTTTGTGCTCAGCCCACACTAGTTTGGGCACTTGCTTTGTCAGTTCCTCTGGTTTCAGAGTGCAGTTCTGCTTCTGTTTACACTAAGATAATGTTTGTCTCTTCCCTGAAGAGCTATTATTATAATGAAACTAGAATCCTGAATGTTTATGTAAAGTTTTACAAAACCCATGAGTTTGAAAAGAGTCATGTGCCTTGTTTGATTCAGTGCTGCTGGGAGCCAGTGAGGTTTACTCACTTGAGTAGGACTTGCACAATTCATCACCTGCTTTTCTTTTTCTCAAGAGAATTGCTTAACAGGATCCCATTGGGAACCAAAGCTAGGCAGGAAAGGGAAGAATTTGATGTGACTTCTGTGAGGCAAGGATTCTTGTCTGTGTAGGGAGTTACAGGATCCAAGTGGTACGTGGGGATCCCATCCCGTAAGGTGATGAGGTTGAGCTTAATGATTAAAAATCAGCAAGAAATGTGGATTGCTTTTTATTTTTCTGATTTTCTCAGAGGCATGTCAGACATGACTTGTAGCAAACAGAGGACTCCCTTTTCAACGGTAAACGTACCTAGGCTAGTGAGTATCCCTTTGGCAGGACAGACATGAAGTAAAGATGAGGTTCACGAGGGATTTTTTTTGCTTACTGTGGTGAATGTCTGAAGCCAACACAGCCCCATTCTTCGTGGGAAGTCCAGCCCGAAAATATGGGGTGCGGAGAGAGAGTCTGACCTCGCTGAAATCCAGCTGCAAAACTGCTGTTAACTCCAAAGTGGCCAAGAGATTTCACCTGCTCCAGAGAAAGCCCTGTGCAAGTAGGGCCAGCAAGGTTTGTTTGAGGCTGAAGATCACATTTAATAGCAATGGGAGGCTCAGAAAAGCCAGCTGCAGGGCTGGGAGGTGTCAGCCCCAGCGTCCCCTTGCCAGCATCCCACATTGCGGGAATCCTGAATTCGCTTGGGGCGGGTAGGGGGGCAGGGAGCGGCTGCTTCTTGGGTATTTATTTTCTTTTTCTCTTTGGTGTGTGTGGCCTTAGACAGAAATTTATGGCAGAGGTTGACCTCCTTTACAATCCCCGTGCAGCTCTCTAACTTTGGAACGTTTGTCTGCTCTCTCCCAGGATAAACACCTGCAGTAAACTCCCCGAGAGACCTGGCTAGATGGGAGATTAATGTGGCTGTAATAGTGGAGCAGTGTTTGCAGCATTATGCCCTCTCCCCAGGTAGATGGATCTTTTCTGAGATGATACCAATTATTTATTGCTGAAACATCTGTTGATAACTGCAGCTGCCCTTGTTAAACAAAGCATATCGTGGGGTCATAGACTATAGGGACCTAAAATCCTACCGCATGCTAGTTTTAGACTATTCACCAACACCCCCTGAAGTCCATTGGTTACCGTTGTCTTCAATGTTTCGTCCTGTGGTTGAAAATACTTTGTAAACATTGTGCTGCCTTTCCCCATGTGCTTTGAAGTATTATTTCATCTTCATCGGTAATTTATATTCCAGTGCCATTGTACCATGGGAAAAAGGGAAAACCTTTTTTGTTTTCCATTTAATTGTAGATAGACTGACATTTTGACCCGTATTATTAGTATTAGTCAGGAAAAGGGATTTTTTTCCCCTTCATCCATTCCTTTCCACCCCTCCCTTTTTTTTTTAAATAAAATTTCAAGGCAGAGCAAAGGCTGCTTCAGTTCTTTGAATAAAAAGCTGGGGGGGAAATGAGGCTGAAGAGAAGTGATTACAGTGTGATGAGGAAAGATAAAAGTCTGACCAACATTTTTCTTCTCTTTTTTTTTTTTTTTTTTTTCCCTGGCATGAGGGACAGAAGGATAATTTAATTCCCTGAAGGAAAAAAATAAGTCTTTGTCAATTTATTGTTCAGAAAAACCTTTAAAATTTTTAATCTCTGTTTATTTTAATTTGCCATGCTTAGAATAAGCTCATAAACCGTAATTCATTACATTTAAAAAGTGCTTTGAGATCCATGAATGAAAGGCATTACCATAACACACTGGCGGTGTTACGAGGAGGCAGAGCTGGCAACCAGCACTCACCATGAGGATGTTTTACTCTGTGAGTAGGCTGAAAAGCTCCATGAGACCAGCACAGTGAGTAAGCGGATTAGGCTTTGGCTTCAAGGGTTTGCCTTAGTGTAGCACTTTAAAAAGTGGGTTACCCAGTGCTGGTGGCTGCATGCTAGTTTGACACATCAAGAAGGCAAAGCCACCTGCACCCGCATCCTTTTAAAGTGCTCTTCTTCGCCTTTGCTGGGGGATGCTCATTACTTCTGCACAGTAGCTGAAGCAGTAGGAAGGCATGGCAAAACCAGCTTAGGGCCCCGGGGGAAGCGGCAAGCCAGGCTTTCCTTGGCGCACTCTCACTGCAGCCTCAGTTCAATGGGAGTCGTGCTGCTGCTGGAGCAGGGTTCAAGGCAGATTTTGGCAATGGATGCAAACTTTTCTCCTTTTTACTTCTCTCTCCACTATATGAAATTGATGAACCTCCTTAGGGATTTTAAGGCAACAGATTTGCTGTAATCCTTAGGCAAACCAGCACTTCTGGTTTTACAAAATCTCTACATCTTATAGAAGGTGGAGTTTTATGTTGGTTTTTGTTTTTCTTTTCCCTGACAGGGATTCACCAACCAGTACAAAGGCCAACCCAGTTCAACAAACTCAACATACTGTTTTCCATGTTTTTGTAGCAGGTTTTAAGAGAGCCTCCCTGTTTGCTGGGGGGGGGGCCATCCTGCAGCCCCCGTCTCAGCATGACGGTCTCTTTGGTGGGAATTTGCACTGAGGCTTGAAGGGCAATGACCAACATTTGTATCTAAAGCAAAAACTGGAAGGCACTGGGATTTTTGTTTTTAGCATTAGACCAAAATCAGAATTGTAACAGGAGTCTTGCTGATGACTATAATTAAGGAGGGATCCTGTTTTCTGGGACTGCAGTTCCAAAACGGAGGCTGCCAGGAGTTACCCTTGCTGCAGATCTCCCATATCTGAAAGGATGGAAATATCCTTACACTCAGTGAGCAGCCAATAGAGGGCAACATGCCCATGTTCACGTAGGCTTTGATCCCGCAAACCCTATTGTGGGTTGCATTGAAGGACAACTCTATGCACACAAGTAGTTCTCTTGTGGGATTATTCATGCAACATTAATATTTTAATTATTTTTTGCAAGATCAGAGTTTGTTTTCAAACCCATTGTAATGCTGTAGGGCTTCACTTTGGTTTTATCGTACATATCAATAGTTCCTGCACCCAGGCTCAGGCATTCAGCCATGAAGATGTGCTGGGGTAGGTACAGTGTGAACACAAAAGGGAATTCCCAGCTTTGAAGATTTCATCATCCAAAGCCTTGCCTGTGCAAAGACACCAAGGAAAAGCATTTGCAGCTAATGTTAAAGTGGACTTTATGGTTTAAGGTACCTCCACACCTGCTGCAGGAGCGGTGCAGGCCCACCCTGTGCTCCCTGCCATGGGTGTGGGAAAGTGGATCCTGGCCCTGCTGGTGCAGAATCTCACTGGAGTTAATGGGAATATTGAAAAAAATCTAGAAAATCAGTCCCCACAGCCTTGGCCTTGGCTAATTACATGCTGGTGGATTATTGTTAGGGAAACCATTCTGAGGGACCTGCCCTAACTACTCTGAGATGTGTGTGTGGCACTTGAGAACTGAGAGCCTTTGAAAAAGAACTAAAGAGGAGGCTGAGGATTTAGTTTTCTCCTCCTTCTACCTGTTGGTGTGGTAACAGGAGAATTAAAGCCCTAAATCGTAGCCCTGGGATTGTCGTTGTTCAGGCTGACCTTTTGCTACCTGCCTCATAAGAGCTCTTCTTGGGTGATCCCAGCGAAACGGAGAGTGACGGAAAAGAGAGCTGTGGCTGTGGGCGGAATTCAGCACAAGAGGGAATCGGTGGCATCCCAGCCTCCCTTATGCTGCGTGATCCCTGGCACTTTGTAAATGAGAAGCCTCAGAGGTGAGGTCCTGTCAGCGCAGGAGAATGGCAGCTATCTCAGTTGTCACTGATGATGGCCAGGGTTGGGATGCTGCACTCCTGGCGAAGCTGCAGGATGAAAACAGGAGAGCTGCAGCTGCACAGGGTGACCAGCCTGGTGCTGCCAGCCCGCAATGCTGCAAAGCATTTGGTGTTCCACTGCCTGTGTGGGAAAACTACAGCAGAATTTATGTGGAGCA